CCACACCCACGCCCACGCGACCGCCCAGGGGACCATTCTGCATTACCTGTGACAACTTTTGTCAGATTAGATAACTCCCCAAACTATGTTCTATTGAAATATAGAGGATATGAGAACAAAAACTAAATATGAATTAAATACAAATTTAATATAGATTTTTGGAAATTTACTGTCAATAATGTTTAAAAAATTGTCATTATATCATTGAAATTAATAATTTTCTTTTAAATAAGAGTATACTTACTTGCGTGTGCGGGTGGTGGGGCGCCGACGGGTGGTGATTGTTAGTCACAAGTGTTGAGAGCTTATTTACATTGTTAATTATGCCACCGCCAAGCATCCCAGCACCCGTCATGTTACTGTTTGTCACTATCATATTGCCTCCAACATTGGTTACATTCATTCCACCTGGAACAAATATATTAATTGTTAAATACAACAAACACTATCAAAACCCATTACATTTGTTGCAGAAATTGTCCCAATATACTTTTGGACATTAAACTATATACTATTAACTATATGTGTAATTGTATTCCCTAAGGAAAACATCAGTAATTAAATTCTTGTCATGAAATTAACCAAAAACTGACAATCACACTTTCAAATACTATTTGTACAGCTATTTCAAAATTTATATACTGATTTTGCCAACTTGACATTTTAAAATAATATTCACTACTTGGACAAAAATGGATAATTCATGAAAAAAATTAAAATGTTGATATGATCAGGTCTTGTTTTCCATATAGTAGGAATGAGCTAGAACATTTTAATGTAAAATTTAGTGCAGAAATCACAGTTACACATTTAATACTTTTTTCTTTACAAAAACAAACAGGAATATAAGACAAACTTACCTTGGATGGAACTCATGGGCATATTAGAATGCAGTTGATTTGGATGGCTTGTATTTGGCATTAACTGTGGGTGCAAATTACCCATTAGGTCTTTGGACACGGAGACATTGGGAGGTGATTGAAGGTTAGGACTTTTACTCCCTAATGTGCCCAATCCTAATGGATTGTTGTGGCCAACTAACCCACTCTTATTGCCCTGTGAAAAGACCGGCAAACAACATAATAACTTATTAGTATGATTTTGTAGAAATAATAAAAATATAAATATTAAAAATGGTAAATATAACATAGGGGTTTACTGTTACTTATTAAAATCAAAATAACTTTTCGTTATAATTACAAAATTCTTAAAAATAACAAAAAATTGCATAGCCAAAATTTTAAGTAAATAATATGTATTAAGACATGCATTGTCCGAAACCTTGACAGAACATTTTCCAGTGTTATTAACTGTCCACATACACAAAATAGACTGACATTGAGGTCATTTTAAAAGTTATAATATGACTATAAAATAATTAATTATATTTAGTGAAACTTTATATAAATCCATCAGTCCCAGATACTCACTTGTTGTATAAGATGACTGTTAATATGTCTGTGCATAGCTGCGCTAGGATCGTCACCATTGAGTTGCTGCTGAGGGGCCATCTGTGGCCCAGGGCCTGGTCCCTGAGCTGGAGGCTTGGGCCCTGTGACACCAGGTTGCTCGCCCCAGGACCCCGCCATCAACTCATCTGGGAGGTCCTTCTCCAGGTCGAACATGTCAAGGTTCGAAAACCCATCTACTGAAACAAGCATTCATACTTGGTATATCTGTTTCTTAATTCATAACCAAACAATGTAAAAAATAGAGTTTTTTTGATGAACATTTCATTCACAAAAATATTAATGAAAACAAACCCTTGCAACTTAAGAGTTAGATTTTTAGTATTTTAGGAATTAATCAATATCAGAAATCAAGGTTACCATAAATACAAAATTTATTGTAAATCTAAAAATTAGGTATAATTTAGAAAAAAAAAAACATTAAGTACTAAATTATGAATAATACCACCATTACATGGTTTAATATACAGTTATTAAACATAGTTAAAATAACACTCCCTGAATAATTGTGAAAAGAATTTAGTTTAAGTTTAAATAAAGTTTGTTTAGATCAATGAATTAAAATGTTACATAGATACAAGTCCACAATTAAGTTAATAATTTACACCTATAGATTTTATTGTCTTTTATTAATGCCATCCATTGTTAACATAAAGCAATAAGTTACATTTAAATATTTATTTATAAAAATTACAAATAAAATAACTTATCAAGTCATTAAAATTTAACTCTATTTTCATGTTTAATCATATTTTAAACATTTCTTAACTAAACTCATGTTCAATTTAAGCATAAAAATATATGAACACAAGCAGGTTATGATGATAACATAAAAAAGCATAGTTTTATTCAGACAACTAATATATTTTTGACATATATATGCCAAGATGATAAAATTAATCTATAACAAAACAAAATTCCTTGTTACATTGTTACAATAAAAGTTCTAAAGAAAATCAATTTTGTAAGAAAATAATCTAAAAGAGTAACCTGGGCACCAAATACATACACTTAGTTATGGTTAGCAACAATTTTAGAGTAAAGTTAGATTATACCCAAAATCTGTCTTGTTCCATTAATGTCTGAGACATTTGTTCAAAATAACATAACCCTTTTTGATCATAACAAAAGTTTTTATTAATGGAAATTCGCTTATAAATCCTACTAAAATATGTCACAAGTTTGTTAATGAGACATTACTTGCCTCTAAATTGGAGTTTTTATTGAATTTTAAATCATAAAACATAATATTTTGGTCTCTATGAATGACATTAGGAATAAACATTAAGTCATATTTTTACTGAAAAACCATCTAAAATGTCATGTCAATATGTGAGAAACTGTATTTAATATGTCGTTTACAATTTGTGGGACGATAAAGCAGTGAAAATATACCACTACGTATTAGTGAAACAATTACACAAGTTCTTTTTATTACAAGTTTTGACTTGAAGTGATACTTAATTTGACCACAATTCACTGAATTGAAAGAATAATGTCCTTACTAGTAACTTTTAATTTTAATTTACGTGTTTTACACTTAGAGAACAATAATACGACGCAAAACTTACAAGGCGCTAACAAGAGCGAACGCAAAATGTCAAAAATCTCGGCAAGATAATATGACAGAAGTGTCGTGAAAACCTCAAAAGTTTTATAAAATACACAAAAATACTCACCCGCGGTGTCTGAGGGACCCTGAAAAGGGTCCCGGATCATCTTGGCTCGCTTGTTAGGCGGCTCATCAACATGATGATCGGCCATGGCTCTGTTTACTAAACGTAAGCCGTCGTGAATATTTCGGCCCGCCGATTCAAATAACACTTTTATGTCTTATAACTTCAAGAAATAACATTTTAAAGCGATTTATGATCCACTAAAATTAAATTCACCCACATCCCGATCGTTCGATGTCCTTCAGACCATTGAAGGCACATATTAAAATTTCTCACTCAAGTATTCGCCATTACAAAGCTCGGAATCGAAGAGCTACACAGACCCTCTCACCATCTTCCGTCGGAACTAGCACAATAATGAAAACAAATCACTAGATTTTTGCTGCTTTATAGAACTTATTTTACCGAAATAATAACACGATTTAACTTAACTCTTTAAAATATACGGAATGGTAGAGTTTATGAAAAAATGATGTAAGAAAAAACAGCAAATTTACACGACAAATTCCGAAATACTTCTTGGTCTCTCCAGCGCAAAATGGCGGCTGTTGATGAAAACTTTTTCTACGCTTGTCAGAAAATGTCGGCCTATAAAGAGACCACGATCGCTGATTGGACGATGTTTACCACGTGACTGCCGGAAGTGCCGTTTTGACGCAGGATGGAACAATTCTTCTGACGTCACTACGTTCAAACTCGAAAGTTGCCGAAGTTACCCGAACACCTTAAAGACGAAATTAAAAATTTCTATAGACTCGTTTCTTACTACATTTTAGTAAACATATGTCACTTACTAATAGAATTTTTTAAAATACCTATTTCCAGCTGCTTTTTCCACAAAACTCAACACAATTTTAAATACAAACACAATTTTTGAATTCTCCCTCCAATTCGGGAGTGGCAATTATTAATACGACGTGTCTAGATCTATGGTCTCTAGGTCAACATAGACAAAATTTTATGTTTTAAATGAAAACATAGTATGGAAATAGCAGAATTAAGCCGATCTCATATATTTTAAAAAAAGTGAAATTCCAATACAACCTACAGAAGCGTTAACATTAGAATACACAATGCTTTAGTCTTTGATTCAAAAAATTTTACAAAGAAAGTTAGGTACATAGTTTAAATACTTTTTCAGGCAAAATGCATGTCCAAAAAAAGTCATCCAGGAAGTAAACAACTTGTCTTAGAATAATGGTTAAATAGAGAGAGAGGGGATTGTATTTAATAAAGTCTTATGAAATTGTCATGATAATGTAAAAAAATTATAAGGTCTAGCAACGACATATGTATTCGTTGACAAGCCTATACATAGTGTGCTTATTGCCTATTTGCTTGTCTGTTTTGAATGAATAGGGTTGTCTAATCTTTTCTAATAGGAAATTTTGAAACAATCGTAATTTAGGAAATGGAAAAATGATGTTTATTTTCGTCCAAATGTAAAAATTTGCTTTTCTGTATATGTAAAATATTCTTGTTTTACGATGACCACTAAGTTTATTATTTTAGATAAGGTTTGTTTATTTTCTTATAACCTCTAAAAATTTAAATATTTTTACTTATATTTACTTTACTTAACATTTTACCTTTCCAGATATTAGGCAGTAATGTATGCAAACATGCTATACAAAACTCTAAATATGTAAAATTTAAATATGATCACAACGAGAATTGTTTTATTGTAAATATAAACAATAATAATAAAGACAAAAACATTTTTAGTTCTGAATCAAGTGCAAAATTAGCTGGACATTTAGAATCAAATACTTTTAAAGTAGATAGAGATAAATTTGTAAAAGAGGTTTTAAACAATTCCAATAAAACTTATCCACTGCACCCAAGCCCAAAAAAAGTTGTTCTAGATTTCAGTTCCCCAAATATAGCAAAACCATTCCATGCTGGCCACTTAAGATCGACGGTTATTGGTAATTTTATAGCAAACATTAATACCTTTTTTCAAAATAATGTAATCAAAATTAATTATTTAGGTGATTGGGGAACCCAATTTGGAATACTACAATATGGGTTAAGATCAAAACAAATTGATATTAGTAAATTTGAAACAGATCCTATTAGACAATTGTATGAAATATATGTGGAGGCTAATAAAATGGCCTCTAATGATGAAAATGTACAACAGGAAGCAAGAAAATATTTCGCAAACATTGAACAAGGTAAAACAAGTCTAGAAAATTGGAGAAAAATCAGAGAAATTACAGTTCAAGAGCTAGAAAGAGTTTATAAAAGATTGGGAATTCATTTTGATACTTACAATTGGGAATCAGATTACAATGGAAATGCTATTAAGGAAGTAATTAGACTATTGGAAGAAAATAATATAATCAGTGAAACAGAAGAAGGCAAGAAAGTTGCTCAGTTCAGAGGGAAAGATATTACGGTTCTAAAGAGTGATAATTCCACTTTGTATCTATCTAGAGATATAGCAGCATTATTAGACAGATATGATAAATATGAGTTTGAAGAAATGTTATATGTTGTGGATAATGCACAGAGTGATCATTTTGCTGCAGTTTTTGATATTGTTAAACAAATTAACAGTAAATGTGCAAATGCTTGTGAACATGTAAAGTTTGGTAGAATCAAAGGCATGAGCACAAGAATGGGAAATGTTGTTTTTCTTAATGATATATTAGATGAAGCTAAACATAAAATGCAGGAGCAACAAAAAGCATCAAAAAGTAATTTATTTTAATAAGCAAACTTAAAGTATGCTTTTTGTTATGATATAAATAAAAAAAATTGTTCATTGAAGTTCAATAACTTAAAACCATAAGCGTAAACTAAATTTTTGCATTAAATTTTTGTTCAGAAATTATTGCATGTGACCATAGACAAATGATAATTATATTTTTAAGCATTTTATATGTTTACAATGTTTTCACTTTCAGACACTAGAAGTTCTGCAATGACTGAAGAAACTTGTGATATTCTCGGCATCACTGCAGTTGTGATGAATGATTTGAAACAGAAGAGACAGAGAGATTATATCTTTGATTGGGATAAAGTTCTCCAGAGTGAAGGAGATAGTGGGATAAAGTTGCAATATCTTCACTGCAGACTGTTCAGTCTAGAACAAAATAGCGGTGTGAAGATACCCAATGTTTGTGCACCAGAATATCTTAAAGAGGAAGTTGTTGGTGATGTGGTGGCAGAGTTAGCAAGATATGAAGATGTCTTGCATAGAGCACTTATTGAGAGAGAAGCATGTATCATTGTTAATTATTTATTCCGTCTGGCTAGACATGTAAATAGAATGTTTACTGAGTTAAATGTAAAAAATGCGCCTAATGATGTTGCAGCTCAGAGATTATTAGTGTTTCATACTGCACGAAAGGTTGTTAAAACTAGTCTAGAAATCTTAGGAGTAAGACCTTTATACCAAATGTAATATTTATAAGAATAAATGTTTCTCAAAAGTTCGTAAGTTTTATTGAATTCACATGTGTAAATTAAATCCTTGTGAATTTCGGTAGCCGAATCATCCTATCCTAATCCTAATAAATAATTTGAATAGATATTTGTTGGAGTAAAGTTTTGTCGTAATACCTATAGTCATTTCCAGAAAAATTTAAATCAAATCGTGCATAACTGCCAATTAACGCCATCTATTGGAACTTAATATGGTAGTTTCACTATAAAATTTTGGTAGTTATTATTGTCTTACGCAAAAATAGATGGAGCTAAAACAAAAGAACTAAAGACATAGTAGTAATCTACGAGTAGCGTAAAGATGTACAAAAAAACTCATGAAATGCTTTACCCATGAAAGTAATAAGTACTTCTATGTAAGAAAATCAAAATTCAAGTGAAAATATTGGTGATTTTTTTGTTATTGATTACTAACAAAAAATATACCAAACATTTCAAACAACAAAGTTTCAAATTAGTCAGGTAACACTACTACAACCGTTTGCTGTTGCTTAGCAACATAGATAATCAAGTAATTTCAAACATAAACTTTGTCAGAAACTTGTTTTATAAAGATGATTGCTGTAAATAGGTAAACTTGATATGAAACCTGGACAAAGCTCGAAGTTACATAAATGCAAATAAAATAAATAAATGTAATTAGACTTATCAAAAACAAGACCCATCATAATGACTACTCCAAAGGTAACTGAGTTTCCTCTTTAATAACTTTTACCATAATTTGAAAGTGAAATACATTATTAGTTATGTATATTTGACACTAAAGTATTTATTTGTATTTTATGTTAATAAAATATAAATCTAGAATGATCCTTCATAGATTTTTTTCTAAATAAGTACTTTTTTTAGCTATTGTATAGCCTTGACCAACCTCATGGTATGGGTGAGTTATATTTCTTATGGCAAAAGGGTGAATCTCGCTCTCTCTTAGCAACAACCGGCACTGATGCAACAGTAGCAATACATGATCGTTCGGGACAATTGGTAGAAAGGATTAAGTTACAAGGGTGAGTAACTTATATTAAAATGTTCCAAAATAAAAATATATTTAATGTAATTCCTTTGACGTCAACCAAAACTTATTAATGGACATGAAACATTTGATTTAAATATTCTTTAACAACCATTTGATAATGTAGTCTTCCAAAGGCAAAAGATACTTTAAGTTTCTTTTTACATACAACATTAAAAAAATATATCCAATTTAAAATATTAGTATAGATTAAAAATAAACAAAAAACTATTCCAGTCTATGTGCGGCCATGCAATGGGATAATGATGGGGACTATTTAGCGGTGATAACACCCAACAGTTCTACAGTGTTACTGTGGGAGTGTCATACAAACAAGCGACTGAACATAGAAACAGGTCTACGCGAGTCACCGTCTTGCCTCGCTTGGGCATTTGGAGAGCCTCTCTTAGCTGTTGGTACACAAAAAGGAAATTTAGCTTTGTACAACCATCATACCACTAAGTAAGTTAAAATTACTGATATTATAGTATTCTGCAAAAAAATCAATTTAAGAGGATAAATTCAAGGAAAAAAAAAACAGTAACATTTTTTAAAGATACATATAAGGAGAGGATGGGAAGGGGAAGTGGATATGACGGTGGAGGAGATACAAAGGATGGGGAAGTGTCCTCTTTATGTGCGTCTCCTCCTCCGTCGGATAAGGGTAGGCAATGCATCTGCAATTGCGGATGTCTATGGGCAGCGGTCGCTTCGCCATTTTGGCAGATTCAGGTGGCCTCTTGCTCGTTTACCATCTTATGTTATAAAAAAATCAAGTAAATATGGGTATTGAATGTTTTAGGAGAATCCCAATTATAGGTAAACATACAAAGAAAATAACCAGTGCTGCTTGGAATAGAGATAGTATTTTGATACTTGCTTCAGAAGACAAAAGTCTGTCTATAAACAATTCAGATGGGGATACACTTAGAATAATCACCCTCAGGGATGTACCAAATGATTTACAGTTCTCGGAGATGAAGACTGATGAGAGGGTAGCGGGGGAGAATACAGTGAGTGTTTCTTCAAAATAATATTTAACTCTTCCACCGATCATTAGTAGAAATCAATGTGTTAATTATAATTTTGTTTTCAGATCAGTCTTGTGGTAGGGAAGCGAACACTATATTTGTATAATTTACTGAACCCAGAAAACCCAATAGAATTAGCATTCCAACAACGCTATGGCTCCATTGTCTCCTACAAATGGTACGGAGATGGGTACATACTGATTGGGTTCAGCGCTGGTTATATTATAGCTATCTCCACACATCTGAAAGAGGTTGGTGAGGAACTCTTCCAGGTTAAGAATCATAAAGACAATCTCACTGATATCGCTGTGTTTGGAGACCAAGCAGCATCTTGTGGTGATGGCCAGTAAGTAGATTTTTGTGTTGTGCTTTCCAATGTTACTGCATTTTGATACTTTGTGACATTTTATCAGCGTGTGTTAGGCTTAGAATTATTCATCCGATTCATTACGTAATATGCTTATAATAAGGTATCTCTATCTCAGTTTGAATACATTACCGACTGCCATCCTGTTTAAGCATAATTTGTGTTTTTTTACCGTAGTTTAATTTAACTATTTAATGTAGTCAATTTATTTTTTGTAGATTAAAGTTGATATCATTGTGGAATAACGGGGAGGTGTCGTGCACGGTGGCGGTGGTCGGGGGGGCGGAGCGCTGCGCGTTCAGCGCGGGGGGGCGG